GGGGGGGGGGGGGGGGGGGTTAAAGGAAAGAAGTCAGAGAAGTGAGAGAGGATTTTTGAGCTTTGAGATAAGAAGACTTTCGTGGACGAGAAGTTCATCTGGAGAGGAACAGGATGATAGGATCTTAAAATCATCAAGAGAAGCAGTATGACCTGAGTTGCTAAGGTGGGAAAAGATACTCGTAAGTTGAAGACTGCTCAGGTGTTCCGAGACTCGTGTATGTAGATGGCGGACCGTTTGGCCCACATGCGACGCGGAACAGCTCGGGAATATTGTCCTTAAACATGAAGAAATTGGACAAACGTAGAGTGGGACGAAACACGATTCTGATGCTTATATGTGGGAAGGCTACAGAGCAAAGGCGTTGAATTTGAGTACGAATTTGGAGAGAGTGTGTTCCGGTATATGGAAGACAAAAGTATACCACTTTCTTTGATACAGAATGGATTAATTCCTTGGGTTGGAAGGTTTTATCAAGAAAGAGTCGAACACAACGATCAAAGAGACGAGTAGGGTAACCGTTCTGGTTGAGGATTTTTCTAAAAACTGAATTTGAGCATGAAAATTCTCATATTTAGAGCAAATATTGAAAAGGCGGTGTGATAGTGAATATATTAAATCACGTTTAAATTGTTGAGGAGTGAAGTTATGAAAATTAATGAAAATCTCTGTGAATGTAGGCTTACGATAAACAGAGGTTTCAAAGTGGCCATTAGCTCGTGTAATAGTAATGTCAAAGACGGAAAGTTGACAATTGGATTCAACTTCACAAGTAATGTAAATGTTAGGATGTTGGCTATTGAGATAAGCAAGAAAAAGAGGAATATTGTCCCTAGAGTGGAATAGATGGAAGGTATCGCCTACATGTCAACGATATAATAAGGGCTTAATATTGGTAGGGCAATTATTAAGCCAAATGGTTTCATGAAAGGCTAAAAAATGTTAACAAATAGAGGCCCAAGAGGAGAGCTCATTGCTACGCCGTCTACCTGTTGATATAGGGAACCATTGAACAAGAAATGGCAGTTTTTGACAGCACAATTCAAGAGTTGTTTGAATTCAGAGCGAGTGAGATCATGAAAACGGATGGCATTCGAAAACAAGCGATCAGCAATTATTTTTGTGGTTCCGTACGGCGGGATATTAGTAAACAAGGACGTGACATCAAAGCTAGCCATGGCAAGATTATTGGAATTACAGTCTAGACTTAACAATTCCTACACGAAGGAGAAAGAACCGCGAAGGACTTCGACGAGTGTTGAAAAGCCTCTTGGTAACCTACATGGGTTGATTTTGACCCACAGCACTTCACATTCATTTTCATTTGGTATATCGGGGATAACATTCGCTACATAAGAAGCTTTTATGTATATACATACCCCGCCATGTTCCTTTCCTATTCTGTCTCGTCGAAAGACTCTGTAGCCATTGATTTCAATTACTTCATCGGGTACGGAACTTTTCATCCACGTTTCACTAATAAAAACTAGATCTGCATTGTTTTGCTTTGTAACATGTTCTAATTCGTCCATTTTGGGGACCAGTGACATCACATTAGTTAGTAAAAGATTAGGAACAAATTCCCGACTACAACCAACTTGAAGGAATTTTGAGGAGTTTTTTTGAACACTATCGATCAGGTTTAATTTTAATGCAATTTGCTAAATTTGTCCCTTTGCAAAACGTTTTATGTTTACGATATTGTGAAGCAATCACGGGTATTGGTTTTTGCAGCATTTGGGTTGATGTCGTAGTTGGATCTGGAATAGAGCTGATAGAACTGATTTTGGACGTAGTTGTATGCTTATTTTGACCAGATGCATTCATTTCAGGTTTTATTTCAATTAGATTAGAGTTATTTGTGAGTGAATTAGGGACATTGTGCCTTGATATACAATTACGTGTTCGATTAGATGTAATTCTCACAGGGATCTTATTCACCTTCATTATTGCGTCCTGGCTATTTGGCTCACTAAGACAAGAAATTCCTTCCAGCCAGGGGATCTGTGCTTTAAGCGGCTCTTCCGAAAATTTGCCTGTCTGAGGTGCCATTGTGGGGTAGTAACCCGGGAATTATGCCGGTCTCGTGTTTGAGCTGGTCTAGTACGAGGGCGAGTCCGAGAATAATTTATATGCGGTTGTGGACGTCGTGGTTGCGGTTGGTGTGAGCTGAGTTTGAAAGGTGGAAATAACATTCGATCGTCCTTAGTAGCTTTAGATTGCATTTTCCCTTCACCAGTATCTTCAGGTGCGCTGTTAGCTATGTCCTTATAGGAACTTTGCGGCTGTTGCTTACTTAACTGTAGCAGACTTGTAGGTATGCTACTCATTAAGGGCAGAAAAACCTGTTGAGAGCGTTCATTAGATCTAGAGGTAGGTGGTTCGTGTGGCACAGGTTGTAGTTTCAGCTCGACCGAATCTTTAAGTCCGGATTTAACCTTTCGTGGAGGGGGCGATTGATCATAATCAGAAAAAGTTTTAATTTGGACAATTTCTTTGTTATTGACCAGATGTAAATTTTCACTATTTTCTTGATTTTGCATATTTATATTGGAATCATCCGCCTGAGTATTAGGTAAATTGCTTCTGCTCTCATTATGAATAAGCCAATTATGATTTCTATTGTGTTGGCATTGTTTTTGTTCATGGCGTTCTGCAGCTAGGGATTCAACATTTTGATATTCGCTTTCAACCTTGATTAATTTTTCTTGAAGACTATTAATAATATTATCTCGTTTCTCCAATTCTCTGTTTTTTTCGTTTAAAATTGACGAAAACTCTCTGAGCAATGTTTCAACTCTAAGGTCCTAGGATATTTGATGGCTTTCCGTGCCTGAGGGGCTCAAGATAACACTCATAGATTCTATAATATTGTTTGTGGAATCTATGACCCGATTAATAGATTCTATTTGTTTTTGTATAACTGCAATGTCTAATTTGACATCTGTTAGATTTGCAGTATAAGATCTACAGGCGCAAGTATGATTCTCTGGGGGAGATTGGTTAGGATCAACGCTATTTTCACTAACAGTTTTGATTGATTCGACCAGGGGAAGCTCGGTATCTAGCAACGCATCCGCAACTGTAGGGGATAAACAGTCTGTATGCACCTTTGTTTGTTCCAAAACACTCACCAGAAATTCTTTAAACATGTCTCCATCCTTTCCGTGGAACAATAAGGAGTTTAGTTTGCCCGGATACCAAGTCATAGTAAGATCATGGTTTTGACTTTTGAATTGTTTAGCTCTGCCGCCAGGTGAAAACCAGTTCCCTGCCCAACCGACAGTACTTTCGACGAAATTTTTTAACAAATGTAGTTCCCCTGTCCAAATAACACGAGTCCCATCATCTTTTAATAACTTAATAAAGTTCATATCATTATAAAACAGTCTTAAACTCTTATGTTTCGGTAAGCTCAGTAAGCCGTGATCGTCGGCCATCTTGTCTCTGTGAGCACATTCGGTAAGTGTTGTGACAAGGAAACCAATGCCAGCGCTGAACTATTATT